CGGGGGGGTCGCCGTTCGCTTCGGGCACGGGGGCGTTGGCAGCAAGGCCAGCGGTAGTCTTCGACTTCCTCTTGGGCCGCAAGGTCATTTCGTGGCCTTCTCAGCTTAAAACATGGCTCAGGCATGGGCATGATGACCTTGCTTACAGGAATCGGAAACGACCGTCTGGATTTTGCGAAGAGCTGCATTTTTGATTCTGATCAAAATGATCGCTGGGTGCAATCATGAGGACGTGAATCTTCAGTACACCTTGAGACCCGTTTCATTTGTCCATCAATTGTGGCTGTCACCTGCGTGGATTCTCCCAGCAACACACATGTGTCGCTGCTGCGGTGGTGCCATGACTGGCACGATCTGAGGTGGTACCTCAACCCGGTCCTCACTGACCAGCAGATCTTGCGCTGGAGTAGGCGCCCTCTCACCGAAACCTCCCAGGGGTGGCCTTTCAGGCTCTCCCATCCCTGAGTCCACTGCTCATCCTCCGGAAGACGACGAACTCCTGTACCTCGCTTCACTCTTTCTGGTGTCACAACCAGCAAAGTGCCGGTCCTTCCGTGGTGACCTATATACCGGCCTTCCTTCAACGGCCTAGCGCCCTCACCTACCTCACGATAGTAGAGGCGCTCTCCAATGGCAATAGCGGGCTTTCTCCATTGCTTGCCGCTACGCCTCTGCTCTGGTGTCTTCCCATCGACACTCTTGTACCTGCAAATCAGGTCTTCTGAGTGTCTTGGAAACCAAGACAGCACCGGGTCATCTTCCTTGAGAATTCGACCCAACTTCTCCTCAAGTGAGGATCGCAGGACTCGTACCTGCCTCTTGATTTCTCGGCACAAATTCTCGATTGCGCCATTCGCCCGGTGGTCAGCCACCGGCGACTCCTGTGGAACATTCTCCACACCTGCTTCCTTGGCCGCCTGCTCCTTCAGGGCAACGATCGAATGCTCACCATCACTCTTGAAGACTGCACGACGGTAACCAAGATGCTTTATAAAGTTCGCCATGAATTTGACCGCGTATGGCGTCGGTCCTTTTGCGTCCACGAAGGTGGCCGCAACGGCCAGTGTCCGACTGTCTCGGATCACCAGGATAGGCTTAGTCTTCCCATCCTCCTTTCCATCTCGCGTCATCCATGTATAGTCGCACGAGACATCACTCGCCTTGTCCTCTTCGGGTCGTGAGCGATGCTGCTGACCCAATCCTCTGCCGGCAAGACAATGCCGACACCAGTTGCGACACTGCACGTGACCTGTCGCCTCATGCTCTGCAACCTCGGCCCTCGAAGGGCCCTCTGGCGCTCTCACAAGCGCTGGCGGCGCAATCTCGCCGCTCTCATTCATCTCATCTCCCTCGGGCACATCTGCGGGTCGGCCCGCTGGTGCCTCCGGGCTCTCACCTTGTCCGGCACCTGCGGCATCATCTGCCGCTGCAAGTGACGTCTCCTTGGACTGCCGTCCAAAACCCGAATTCGACTCCAAATAGAAGTTGTAAACTCCTTTCTCTTGATACACGGGCAACTCCGGGCAACCACGTCTTCTCCTGGGCTTTACTGGGCTTACTGAGCAAGTTTTGAACCTTCCTGCCTACCGTGAGTCTGCTGGAATCAACTTTCCACCATGTTGGTCAAGAACAGCAATCCTTCCATGCTTAAGGCATTTGTACGCCGAAACCAACGGTTTGTGAACCGGTGCCAACGGGCCTGCTACTGTGCATTTGGAACCTGCTTGACTGCGGCCTGCAAAGGTCCCAGTTCCGATCCCAGGGACCAGTTCCCCTGACGCTGTTTTGAACATCATTTGGGTTCCCTCTTTGGTGGGGATGTGCCCCTTCCATTCTACTGGAATTGCTGTCTGGGCTGCCCCCGTATCCAGGTTGAACCTGACCCACTTGGACTCCTTTGGGGGTTCTTCCTGGGTGAAAGCACCCAGCTGAAACATGCCCATGTTGGCCTCCGGCTGATCTTCTTGGTCTTCATCGGCTTCGTGGGATGGCGTCCTCAAATCCGGCTACATGCTTGTGCTTGGAACCTGACTTGCCTCCACCTTTGGAACCTTTTCCTCCGTCTTTCTTCTTACTCCAACACTCGGCCGCCTTGTGGCCGGTCTTTCCACAGTTGAAGCAAGCACCGGTAATTCCAGACTTACCGGATCCACTGCCTTTTCCTTTGCCTTTGCTGTCCTTACCTTTCCCCTTGCCTTTGTTACCACCTTTATCATTTCCCTTGCCTTTGCCTCCTTTCGAGCCTCCTTTGACCAGAGAGTTGAGAACCTTCGAGAGGGCGTCGACGTCCATAGGAGCTGGGCCTTGTCCGGAACCCGATGCCGGGCCGGAGCCGGGTCTGTGAATTTTGCCTGGCTCCAACAACTGTTTCGATGAGCACCTCTATTTCTTGCCTCATATCCTGGTAAGTGGTCAATCTGCTTTTGTTCAGGATCAGGTGTCGCTCTATGTCTGCTGGAACGAGCAACTCCAAGGAAGTGCACTTGATATCCTCTGATAGGGTCTCCCGGTTCCCTTGCTCATTTCTTCTGGCTTCATACCTGCGCATGAGGTCATCCAACTGCTCTATGGCTGGTCTCACTGAATCCCACGTTTTAACACGTTCGGGGTTTAGTATGGCCCGCAAGATGTTCCTCTTACGACCTGCCGTAAGGGGATCCCATCTCCTGTTCAATCTTCGCCATGCTTCAAACCCGTTCTTAGTGTTGATGACCAAGTCCTCGGATTCGTGAGTGGTGAGGGACGACAGCAAGCGGAACAACTGATCTTCCTTGTCGTCTAGGTCCCCCAATGCCAAGCTCGCCTCCATGCTCTGCCTCTGCCTTTTCTACTGTCACTTCCTCATCCTGATCTACAACCCATTCAAGGATCTGTTGGAAACCTGACCCAAAGATTGCGGTTGTTAAGTTGACCACTGACCGTGCCCATCTCCTGAAACTGGCATCTTCGTTTGGGAAGACCTCAGGTCTACCAATGCCTTTGGTAGTTTCCGATCTCCTCTTTGCAAGTTATTGGCCAGTCTTCCTACACTTTCGACCAGCGCAACCATACTAGCCTGGCCCTGTCTAAGAACCTGGTTCTCTTGCGCCAACCTCTCTACTGCTGCCTGCAACTCTCTGACTTGTTCCTCCATTCCCAATGTCCAGTGCCACGCACCGGGAGGTTAGTCCGATTCGGACCCCTCTTCGTATGAATAGTACGTGTAGGATCCCGAGTCAGGCTCAGCCCGATCGTGAAAATGCACGCTGGCCTCACTCAGAGTTGGAGATGGCGGTGGTGGTGGTGGCTTCTTCGGTGGATGCTTTGGCTTCGGGACCAACACCACCTTCGGCACCGCCGGGGCCTCCTTCAAGATCACTCGGGTCTCCTCCTTGGGCTCGTTCTTCACCTTCTTCTTCTTCTTCTGCGGCTCCTCGTTCTCTTTCTTTTGCGGCTCCTCCTTCTCTTTCTTTTGCGGCTCCTCCTTCTCTTTCTTTGCGGCTCCTCCTTAGGCTTACCTGCCTTTGGCTTGGAGGGCTCCTCCGGCAGTACCGCCGGTGCTTTGGCCTTCGGCGGCGGGCTCTTCCAAATCTCCGGGAGCTTTGGCGAGGGTCCCAACACCGAGTCCCCTATTCCCGCAAACCGAGCAGCCGCCCGGGCCAGGATACCGCGCCGAGGTGTTCCGCTCGTCGCACGAGCTGCGCGGCACACTCAAGCCGTCCAGACCCAGCACCGCTTTGGCGATCGGTACTTCAACCGGTCAAGAAAAGGGTCTCCGAGACGGCCGCCCTTCGCAGTCGATAGTTGCTCGCGAGGGCAGTCTCAGGTGTCGCCGCACCACGCTTTACTCGGGCCACAGCCAATTCCTGGACCCGCCGGTGGACCGTGATCTTTCGTCCAAGGGCCTTTGCTGCTCTCTCTACCTCAGAGAGAACCTCGGCTGGACCAGCCGGTCCGAGTCCAAGATCCTTGGGTGGCGTAACAGGGGCTTTCGGTGGGGTCTTTGGCACAGCTGAGCTTGCCTCAGCCTGCTCTCCTCAGCCTGCGACTCAGTCGGGAGATCCTGCTTCTTGTCCTCAGCAGTGTACACGATCTCCCTTTCCGGACTTACGTTCGGCCCCCGGCTACTCGCCGGCTGAGCCTCCGAGACCGCAGCGGCTGGCGAAGGCGAGGGAGCTCGGATCTCGGGCTCCTCCTCCGGCAAGGCAGGTTCTGGTTCTTCCGGTTCTTCTGGCTCCTCTGGCTCCTCTGGCTCCTCTGGCTCCTCTGGCTCAGGGGCCGCGGGCTCAGCGCCCGCTCCAGCGGCTTTTCCTTTGCCGCTCCTGGACCTCCGCCACGGAGGCTCCGGTGGATCTTTCCTGCCCTTATTGCCCTTGTCCTTGCCCTTCTTGCCCTTGTACTTGCCCGTGCCCTTGTCCCCGATCTTTCCGGTCCAGATGGACCGCCGACCTGCTCGCTCAGGTAGATCAGGCTCACTCGCTACCATGAAAACTCGATTACTTAGGCTCGGCTTTTCCTTGAGCCAAAATACAAGTAGCGTGTTGGGTCTTTATACCTATACACATCATTATTCTCACATTGGTATCTTTATTTCGTTGGCTGACAACACATTCTTGCTATCTGGGGTCTATGCTCGTGTACTTGTTCATGCTAGTTATGCTAGTTAGCCAATCTGCCCATCAGTGTAGTTATGCTACTTACAATGGTAGTTATGCTAGTTATGCTACTTGTGCAAAAATCCTGTTTTATAAGTAGCATAAGAAACTTATTTTATGAGCGCACTTATAAGTAGCACAAGTAACATAACTGGAAAAGAGCACTCTAGTGGGGTCTGTGCGTAGGTGTGTGCGTAGGTGTGTGCGTGCATGTGGGTGGGTGGGTGGGTGGGTGGGTGGGTGGGTGGGTGGGTCGGTCGGTCGGGTCGGGTCGGGTCGGGTCGGGTCGGTCGGTCGGTGGGTGGGTGGGTGGGTGGGTGGGTGGGTGGATAAATACACCTGCTGTGTGAGTTCTGCCATCCTGGCCTGTGCCCACAAAGCGATTGTGGATGGTGTTGTGCAGAGCAATCTGTCCGTTGCCAGCGTCCACCACCGTGAATCTCTGATGGGTCCACCCTTCGCGGATACCATTCTCATTCTCGGGCGCGCTGGGATAGAGAGTCCAGTCTGCCATGGAGAGGTATCGGTTCCATGCCTTGTTGTGCAGGGCGATCACAGAGCCTGGCCTCAGAGGAACCCCGTGTGCCCTGCCTGCGTCTTGGGTGGAGAAATCCTGCAGCGCAGCAATTGCTTTCTCCTTGCTCTCCAGCGAGATGAAGGGCAAAGAAGCCAGGATCACGGAGAATTGGTCAGCGATGTTGATCAGGGGAATCCTCTGAGCTGGGGATTTGAATTCCCCGAAGCCCATCTCGATGCCCAGCTCGAGGCTGTTGCCCGCCAAAAGCCCTTGGATCTTGAAGTTGGTCATCCCCTCCTTCTGGAAGTTAAACAACTCGATGATGTCCTCCTTAGCCTCTTGAATGGCACTCATGCGGCGAGCAGCATCTGCCCCCCGGAGCTCAGAGGTCTTATTTACCGTCAGCTCCTCGTTGTAGTTGACGGATGCCACGTACAAATCCTCCACGTCAGTTTTCCAGTGCAGCGACTCTGCCGTGCCGTTGCTTCGATTGCTCTCCATGAGAGACATCTTATCGAACGCGCTTCTGCTCTCACCTTCGGATCCAGGTAGCCCAGCCACATGTTTCCAGGTTTGGTAGCTACTCTCCACGTTGGCCTTGACGAAGTCCGTGCCCTGGCCAAAGCGCTTAGCCAAGCGCAGCGTCCGGCTGAACACAAGGTTCCCTGCGCTCTTGATCTTCGAGCGGAGGATCGACAGGTCCAAGCCGCCGGGCATCTTGTTCGGCCAGCACACCGTGGTCGCCAACTCAAAGAGCGGCTTGGGTAGCAGTTCGAATTCCAAGCCCCCCACAAAGGCCACAACTGGCTGCATGCCCATCGAAAAGGTGATAGTCAAGCACTTCTCAATGGGCAATGTCGCAGTGTAGAAGGAATAGCCTTGCCACTTGTTCCAGTTGTCCTTCATCCAAGCATTGTCGCAAGGCACAGCCCAGGGCTCCAGCTGGATGAAGTTCTCCTTGCTGGGCGCCGTCCAGTCAGTTTTCGTCGCCTCTTGATGGTTGGCCACGTGGGCTCCGTTCTTGCCCCTCGGGGCAAAAGCCAGGCAGGAACCAGTGTCCACCTCACGGCCATCGAACTGGGTGACCAAGGGACTGGCATGGACATCCTGGCCGGCATGGAACTTGTAGCCCACCGCCCCTGACGGTTTTGATGCGTCATCCTGCAGGAGTGATGCATCGCGGTGCTGGGAGTGGGACTCAATGAGGAAGTTCTTGTCCTTGTGGTGCACCATCCTTTCCCCCACTGCAGGGAACTTCGAGGTGCTGGCCTTCTGCAGCAAAGATGCGCTGCCCTGCAAGGCCTTCTTCACCACCTGGGCCAATGGAAAGCCGACTTTTTTCGGAGCCGCAACAAACATCCTTCGCAATCCGACAACAAATAACCTGAGTGACCGAAGCCACGTGTTGCGCCTGCGTGGCCACCCTTGCGAAGGTCATAATCGTCTCAGTGAGCACCTCCTTCATGCGGCCCAGGAAGTTCAAGGGAGGCACTGCCGAGATGATCTTCAAGCCCAAACACTTGGTGAGCTCCACAGATGAGTGGATGTTGGCGCAATCCATGAGGTCATTCCCCATGGTGAGCCAAGTCGTCACTGCATTCATGGGTGTGCTGGCGATGCTTTTCACTTGCTGGGGCAGCCAATTCAGCGGGGGCTCAAACTGCATGACAAAGCTCGACACGCGCTTGGCCATGCAGTGGAAAGCGTCGGCTCGGGTGCAATGGTGAGTGTTCAAGAGACCATAACTCATGCCCAGGAGGTGCTGAACGATTTCACTGCTGGCGCCTGCAAGGGTTTTCACTGACGCGGGCATCCAATTCAGTGGGGGCTCAAACTGCATGACAAAGCTCGACACGCGCTTGGCCATGCAGTGGAAAGCGTTCGTGCAATGGTGAGTGGTCAAGAGACCATAACTCATGCCCAGGAGGTGCTCAACGATTTCAGTGCTGGCGCCTGCAAGGTGTTTCACTGACGCGGGCATCCAATTCAGTGGGGGCTCAAACTGCATGACAAAGCTCGACACGCGCTTGGCCATGCAGTGGAAAGCGTCGGCTCGGGTGCAATGGTGAGTGGTCAAGAGACCATAACTCATGCCCAGGAGGTGCTCAACGATTTCACTGCTGGCGCCTGCAAGGGTTCTCACTGACGAGGGCAGCCAGTCCAAAGGACTGGGAAAGTGCACATCCCGATGGCCGTGGTTCACATTGAACAGTGTGACCGTTTGGCCCACCAGCGTGATTGAGCAGTACTGGCCGCCAAAGTGAATCCGCAGAGTCTGGCCAAGCATTTGAACACTGGGCGAGTCCACCCGGCAACTTTGGGAGAATTGGAAGCCTCTATAATTCCTGGGCTGCCCATAAAAAGTCCCCTGCTCAAAGTCTAACTGTTTGTGATTTAGTGGAAACCACCACTAAACCCTAAAGGGCTAAAACCTAAGAGGACGGCCGGAAACCACCAAGATTCAAGAGGATGGCGGTCGCTTTTTCAACAGTATCGATGACGGTGTTCTGAATGAACTCCACCGCTCTGCCCTGATCCTTGACCGTGTTGAAAGCATCCTTCAAGGCATCGCCTGTCAGGCCAGTGCCGTCCGCAGTCTGCACAGCGGTATCATAGGCCGCTGTAGCAGCATCTGCCACCTCGTCGTAGAAGGGGATGCTCTTGCTGGACACACTCGAGTCCAAGGACTGCTGCTCGCTTTGCGAGTTTTGGCGCTGGAGCAAAGCCTCCTTCTCACCCTGAGCCTTCTGAGCCTTCGCGGCGTTGTCCGTGGCGTCGTGGTACTCGCGGGTCTCACGCTGGCGGTGGTGCTTCAGCAAGACCCGCTTCAGGACATCGTGGGCATCCTGCACTTTGACCTTCGAGCGTTGTGCCATGGACACCTGCGAGGCTGTTAGACCCACGTGCTTCTTCACGGACTCGAGCTCGCCTTGCTGGGCGGTGAGTTCTGCCTGCTGCAACTCCACCAAAGTCTCAAGCTGTGCCACCTTCAGCATCAGGAACTCCAAATTCTTGGCCAAGTCACCCAGTCCGCTCGTGGCATTTGTGTCGTTCGTCGGGCTTTCCATGCCATTCACTTCCTTGGCATCATGCAAAAGGTTCTTGCCCATGAGATCTCCAATCGCTTTCGCCGCCGTCTCGTTAGCATTGGTGATGTTGATGGGGGCCTCTGCCAGCTTGTAAGACAGGCTGGGAAGAAACAGAAAGGCCGTGATCCAACTTGCCAGAACGTGGCCTGCCGTGGTCCTCAACATTGCTTCGTTTAGAATGAAATTTGCTTCGTTTATTGGTACCGGGCCGCGAGAACGGCTGGATAAGGCTGCGCGACACATGCCCATTCCACACATGCAAGGAACCACCTTGCATACAAGTTGTCCCGTTGAAGCAAACCACCTCAAAAACAACAACAAATCTGAGAGGCGGTGCGCGCCAACCATGCCTGTCAATGAATGATCTCAGCACGCCCCTCTAAGGCTAAGGTTTGCAACAAATCAAGTCTACATGGACCACCCTTAAGGGTATATTTTTGCTTGGCTTGGAGAATGCTGAGTAGCACACAACTAAACCGCCCCTGCGATCTGTGGCGCCGTGCATCTTCTTCGTCCTGCCGGTACATGACGCGCGGAAAGAAGGGGCTGCAACCACCTGGCGGCTGAGTCCTGGAAAAAGGTCTGCTCCCGGGTGCAAGTGCCGTCCAAGGTGCGCCAAGGGTGAAAGTAGATGGAACAAACTCCATTTGTTCAGTAAGTAAAGGGGATGACTAAACAAAACTGGTGCCATCTACTTTCACCCAGCTGTTTTTTAAAACCCTTTCATTTTATAGAATCAAGCTCAAATGCCAATGTTGACCCAGAATACCCCAGAATCAAAAACTCATGAGGGAGGGCTTAATTTCAGAGGGGAACCAAAACTTTTCGGGGAAGGAATCCGGGATCAACAGCAACATTCAAAAACTACTTTCAAGTAGTGTGCAAGCAGATCCTTCAGCACTAGCTTGCCGCAGTGAAATTCAGTGACTTAACATCAGAACAGCGCCAACATAATTGCTAATGCTGGTGAGCATGTAATTGCATGCACGCGTGCAGGAGTGGACAAAATGGTACCTGAAACTGTGAAAACGTTGCTTGGCATTTTGTGCAACTTGGTTCTGGCGAAATCAAAATTGAAACATGATAGATACCCCATAAAGGCAACAGGGGGCAAATAAAACATATTCCTACGCAAATGGAAGCCCATATTGTTAGCGGCTGCCTAAGACAGCTTAAGCGAGCAAACCGGTTCCTACTTGGCCATTAACTCCCGGGCCCCAACACTCAGATTTGAGCGAAAACATCATCGAGCCATCCAAACGGCGCAACAAAAATCAACAGAAGCGCCGGTTTCGCTCAATGGAAACTGCAAATTGGGAAGTGCCCACTCATTCAGGACCCGCGTGAGTGAGTTCACGTTGTGTATGCAAGCTAACCAAACGGCAACACACAAGCAAGCGATAACTCTTTTATTCCCCAAACAGTGTGTCTACACTAAGGGGTTCTTACGGAAAGAGAAAAGGCCTTGGTGCCAGATTGAGGTGCCCGCTCTGTCCGCGAGCGTTTTGCGTGGTATTTACCGCCGATTCGTGCTCTTGCTTGCTGTCGAAGTGCGTTTCGACTGCGCAGGCTCGCACAAAGTGAGTTGGCGACTTCTGTCCGCGAGCGTTTTGCGTGGTATTTATCGCAGATTCGTGCTTTTGCTTGAGCAGATTCTTGCTCTTGCTTGATGTTGAAGTGCGTTTCGAGTGCGCAGGCTCCGAGGACCGTGGGGGTTTTGTCTCGTGGTCCGGCGGCACGGGTTTCCGGCGAAAGGTCCTGGGCTCGATTCCCGCCCTGTCCGCGCGAGCTTGTTTCCCTTTCTCTTGGCATGCTTGGATGGTGCTTCTGTGCTGCGACGGCGTCTCGATGGTACTCTGAACAACAACACCCCCCAAAAGAAACCAAAACCAAGGACTGTTTTCTTTTGCTCGAAAACCACAACTAAATCCAGGGGTCGGCGGCAATCCGGCCACCGGGGGCCCCTGACCCCGTGGTCCGTGACATCGCCGAAGGCCTAGGCCCGCAGGGCTATAAGGCCGTCCGCCCCATGCCGCCGACCATGTGCCGAACTTTTGCGCTGCGCCAAGCTGGGCCCACCCTTATAAGGGGCGAAGGATTTGCGGATTTGTTCAGGCGATTGTTGGCGGCTTTTTGAGCATCTCCCCGCGGAGTCAAAAAACGAGTGTTTTTTGGGGGTGCCCATAGTGGACAACATCCCCGGCATCACCTGCATCATCCGCATCCTTGGCGGACATTGATGCGGATGATGCCGGTGATGCGGGGGATGCTGGGGATGTTGTCCCCGAAGTCGGGCCAACTTTGCCGAAAACGTGCAACCTGAAAATCTTAAAATCTTAAAGTGGATGGAAAATGGATGGAAAATGGCCTGGATTGAAATCTCAAAATCCTAAAGTCTTAGATTCTTAAAATCTTAAATTAAAATCTAACAATCAATCTTAGAATCTCGAGATCTTAAAATCTTCGAACTTAGAATCTTAAAATCTGAAAATATAAAAACATCCTAAAGTCTCGGGGGATGCTGGGGATGTTGTCCCCTAAGTCGGGCCAACTTTGCCGAAAACGTGCAACCTGAAAATCTTAAAATCTTAAAGTGGATGTAAAATGGATGGAAAATGGCCTGGATTGAAATCTCAAAATCCTAAAGCTTAAAATCTGAAAATATAAAAACATACTAAAGTCTCGGGGGATGCTGGGGATGTTGTCCCCTAAGTCGGGCCAACTTTGCCGAAAACGCGCAACCTGAAAATCTTAAAATCTTAAAGTGGATGGAAAATGGATGGAAAATGGCCTGGATTGAAATCTCAAAATCCTAATCAATCTTAGAATCTCGAGATCTTAAAATGCTCGAACTTAGAACCTTAAAATCTCAAAATATAAAAACATCCTAAAGTCTTCGAATCTTGAAATCTTAAAACCCTTATGTCTTAGAATCTTGTGATCTTAAACTCTTAAAATATGAAATTCCTACAGTCTTAAACTCTTACTCTTGAAATTTGGAAATCTTGAAACCTCAAGATCTTAAACTTACAACCTTAGAAGATCGAATCTTACAATCTGAAAATATAAACATCCTAAAGTCTTCGAATCTTGACTTCTTAAAACCCGAATATCTTTGAATCTTCAGATGTTAAAACCTAAAAATATGAACTTCCTAAATTATCAAAGTCTTAAAATCTCAGAATCTGAAAAGCTTTCAAAACTTAAATTCTTTAAATCTCGAACTATTGCAATCTGAAAGTCTTAACTTCATAAACAAGTAAAATATAATAAAATTCCTTCAATCCGGGCTATATTTTAAATTCCTTAAACTCTTAATCTTGAAACTTTGAAGCCTTGAAATCTTGAGATCTTAAAATCTTAAATTCCGAAAGTCGCCAAATCTGAAAATATCCGAAAAATAAAATCTTAAAGCCTTCGAAATCTGATAATAGATGGAAAATGGCTGGGCAATGGCCTGGCTGTCATAACCTTCAAAAACTTTAAATCTTTGAATCTTAAAACCTTAATTCTTAAACCATTGAAACCTTAAATTCCGACAGTCTTCAAATCTGAGACCCTTAGAATCTCAAAGTTTTAGAATCTGAAAATCTTAACATCTACTAATCGGACTTACAGGAAAGGGAAGTGACAGAACGAGCAGGGCAAGGTGCCCGGTGGCCGGCTGTGTCGCGTCAGCGTGTAAATTTTAAGCCCAAGACTTTATCCCAGGGGCCCCTATAATAAAGTCTTGCTGCATTGGCCCCCTGAAAAATGCAACTCCCTAATTGCAGTTACCTCTTAGCTAACCAACTGGCCAAATTCAAAACCAATCCCAGGTGATGCTGGTGAAGCTTTCTGCTTTCTTCCCAAAATCGAAACTGCAGACCTTGCCCAAACTCAAGTTTTCTTACATGTCTCTTGTTTAAAAACTGCCCACCATCAAACCCACAAAGAGGGTAGCACTTCAGCCCCCAGATTTTAAGCCCAAGGCTTTATTCCAGGGGCCCCTATAATAAAGTCTTGATGCATTGCCCCCCCTGGAAACATCTCAAAAGGAAGCTCCAGCAATACTAAATCAAATGGATACTCAGTTCCGAATCTCAAAAGGAAGCTCCAGCAATACAAAATCAAATGGAAACCCCGTTTACTAATCCCAGGTGGACATTATACAAGCTAAACAATAGCCACGGCCAGTTTAAATCCAGCGGGGTTCGGCCCCTTAGCCGTTGCAACAAATACCGATCCGCGGGGAAGATGAGGAAAGTATCAGGGTTGGATGGATAATAACCGCGAAATGGACTTTGTCCATTGACGACTGTACCATCTGCTGGACTTTGCGTCCAGGACATGAAGAATTGGAGAAGACAAACACTCAACACACCCGTGGTTTGCCTTGTTCACAAAACTGATGACTGATGTGATGAACAAATAGCAGATTTGTCCATTTTGGAGGAAACAGACTGGTAAACAACCTGGAACTTCTTGTGCTTTTCTTGCTGTTTGCTGCTAGGCTGTGATGCGTCGAGTTGCAGTTGTGTGCAGGGCTGGGAGGGGGGGTGTGGGGCATATTACCGTCGTTATGAAAGGCTTGCACGCACACGAACACATATGAATGCACACAGGTTGATGCATGGCCAATGTTGGTTGCAAATGCTGGCAAAAAGCATGATCTGGAGCATCCCAGAAAACATGAATTTGCTAAGAAGAGTCTCTGTGATGAGGGGAGCACGCAAACGATCCGCTTGCTTCATAGTGGGGACTCAATGTATAGACTGACAAATGGTATCATTGCAAGACGATATTCCAACTCAGCTGCACTCTAAACTGTTTCGCTTCATGCATCGCTTCTTTTTAAGTATCAGCTTCGAGAAGGATTTCTGCCGTGCGTTGGCTGCAGTTTGTTGATTTAGTTTTTCTGGCGGTTGGGCTGCAACTATGCAACAAAAAACATTGGGTGTTTGAATTTTTTGCATATGTCCTAATTTTCCCGTTCACTGCCAAGGGAAACACGTGTGACACAGCTTTCGCCTCCAGGTTTTTCATTGTGGAGGGTACCTGTGTTACGTAGATTAAAGGAAAACCGAGAGGAAACAAAAGCATTTTGGGGCTCCCCTTGTTGATCTAAGGTGGTTCCGTGCTGAACGCGGGATCCGGACAACTCCCCTGAAGCCCGGATCGATCCGGAGCTGCGTAGTCAGAGAGAGGCGTCCTCCGTTTGTCCCAGATGTACCCATTTGATTTTATGGCGTGATGAGCTGACCCCGGAAAAAGAAGTAACGCACCTGGAGTTGATCAAACAGAATCCTCGCTCAATTGGGACACTTTCTACTACTCTACGAGTATTTACCCACATTTACCGACTCTCATGGTCAAATGTTGGCCAACAAATTGTCTGTAGTTTGTGCTAATAATCAAATATCAAAGTGCCTTCAGCAAACGCAGTGCTCACAAATGAGGCGCTCTGAATTGCAATGACATACAACAGCGCAAACGGTGGGGGGATGTGGGGGACATGTTCGATTCTCACGTTGTTGCATATCCATCGATGCGTGACACGACCTGTCCATGGTGAGCCATGCAACGCGTATATTTATGTGTGCTTTGCATGCGCACAGATACGCACGCTGGTATATTGAACACATCTGTGTGTACATATACATCTACCCTGGGGGGTAAAAGGCTTTCAAAACAAAGGCCGTTACATGAACATCCCTTGTTTGACTAGCTGGGGGATGGGGGCCTGGGTGGAATTCCAACTTTACATCGTCAGCAACAAGTCTTTTCCACCCCAAGCTAGACTTGCGAAGACCTCAACGTTAAAGCAGCACATTTCTGCATCATCAATGGAACAATCATGGTCTTCCCGAAACATCCATTCAGCAGCACCTTTTCAAACCCAGCAGAAAACAACGCCAGCCAGGACGAATGTGAGTGGTTCTTCACGGCGTTTCACGGTCTTTCACTGCAAAAAAAGGCGTTCACGCCAATTTCACGGTATTTTCACGCTTTTCCCTTTGGCGATTTCCCATTGCTAAGCCCATGATCAGTGTCTTTAGAAATCCCACAAAGTTGAAGACCTTGAGCATTGACCAGCTTCAACATGTCTACATGGGTTTCGCGAGGCTTTGGAAAGCGTACTTTTCAGCCACAAGCACTGCAAAGCCATGTGGCCACTAATGCGGCCACAAAACGCTCAGCCCAATTAAAAGCGTCCAGCTTGCAAAGGACGTTCCCCACATTTCACGGCCGCTTCCTACAGGCCTTTCTTTTTAAGGCCGCACCCCAGGGTCTAGGCTAAATGGAATATGTAAATACACATCTGGATATCTTTCAGCCCAGTCATCAAAATGACTGCAGAACAAGCAGCTGGGTCCGGCAAATATTGTTAGGGTCCCCGGCACATCTGCGAAGGCTTGGCATTTCTCTTTCTGGCGCCGGGCATGAGGGAATTTGTGCCTTGTCCATTCGAAGCTTCATGGTTCAGGGATGTAGGGCAAATGCTGAAGTGAAACACATTGACGAGGCCGAGGCCTGGTGAACACTCACCTCCTGAGAGGATTGGTCAGGACAAGTTCGCACTCTTGCTTACCATCCCAACGGTCTTCCAAACCAAGCTTAAAGTCCGGAACCTGAGGAATGAACTACATATGCTTCTGTGTCAAAAAAAACCGGCACTTGCCAAAATGGTAAGCTTCTCCTTTTCGGCGTCCCCTGGAACCGGGTCTCCTCAAAAGACGCCCAGAAATTCTGGAGACTTGAAAACAACTTATGGCAAGCACCGGCCATCTGTCGGAAATCCACTGAGCCATCCATGATGGAATCAACATGTGTGACAGCACCAAACCGGGACCCGGACTCGGTTTGCACTTCTGTCGCGAAACCTTGCCGGGATATCGGCAGACCTGAGAGCAAATGGGTCCGAAGCTCCGAAATGCCAGCGCAATCAAGCAGCTGCACTGTGTGATTCCAAACGCATGTCCCAAGATTGCCGTTCGTGACCTTTCTACTTCCACCAAACGTGCCAAGTTGCTGAATGGGCTTTCGGGTTTCAGCCGAGCCCCACCGAAAAAGAGATCGATCCAATCGATCCAAGCAGCCACGGTTTTCTTATCGGACCAGTCGGGTGAAGGAATTGTGAACTGAATATGCCTGAAGCATTGCAAAGGGTATATAGCCCTTTTTGGTGGATTTATTGGGAACCAAAAGGCACAGCTGGTAAACGGTTGCCAGCATTCATGGGGCTTCATCCATCTCAAGTGGTGCAGGATGTTGTCCACAGTAAGCGAAGCGTACGAGATTGTATCCCCGAAATCAAAGGGCATAGCCATGGAACAGGGCCAAGGCCTCCAGTGCTCCAAAGATTTCTAAGAAAACCGGCCTTGCACACTCAAATTCAAGATGGAAAGACCTATAGAATGCCCTGGCCTTGCGCTCGCATGCTCTCATGGAACAAAGGCTCAATGGCATAGAGCTCTTGGGCAAGACATTCCTATGGCACTCTTGTCAAGCTATAAAAAATCGATCGGATTTCTCGGGGTTTGTGAGGGATGCCAACAGAACAGTCACGTCAATGTCCAATGTTAGAGTGTCCAAATTGGTTGCCCTAAGATCCCAGCAGCTTAAATTTGAGCCCCAACCCAGCATTGGTGATTGCAGGGAAACCAAAATGAAGCCAACCAGATTGAAGGATTCTTTTGTTTGGAACCGCACACAAATGTGCCATGGTCAAACACTAAGTGGGTCATGGTCATGCTCTCCCTACCAACCCCAAGGGGGCGTCGCACCAAACTGATTACACTTCCAGGTGATTCCAGCTTCCCCTTCGCAGGGCTTCCTCGTTATTCCGGTAACTTGTATAACGTTCCTTCTCTGTCCATACACACCAGAATCTCTCTTGACTTGGGTTGGTGGCTTCGAGCTTGGGGCTTGGTGTTCCTTTGCTCCTAGGTGTTCAACTCCCCGAACAGCCAATCACAAAACAGCCAATGACCAACGACCTGGTTTTGGGAGGGGAGAAAACAGAAGCCAATCACAAGTTTCGCCCTTGCGACCCGCCGATCAGAATGATTCATGGCGAAGTCGAGACGCAGGCCCCTGGAAGCGGTGAGACAGGTCCTGTTTCCATCTACGCACGCGGAAAGTTGAACAGGGATCCGGATGCATTATACACCACATTGCAACTTGTAAATGGTGGTTCCCAGTATTTTGGTGGAAAAAGCAACATGTTTCAACAGGTTGCAAAAGGTATCTTTTAAGGAGCCCTGTTTAAACATGCAACATAAACCCTGCCAAACCCAGGCGGGAACCATGCTCGGCTCCATTTTTTGTGCGATTCGCTTCTTCTCCAATCAAGGTTCACTCGGCTCCGTGAGCAGCGGAAGAGGCCAACAGGATATACCGGGACCTTGAAGATTCCCCGGGTGGTCCAAATTGAACCTCTCGGGGCCTGCGGCTTTCATTTCGGGGCCTGCGGCCTTGCCCCGCGGCCAGAAAAGGAGATGCGATGGGAAGATTCCCCATTCAGAAAAAAAGTCCGGAGCTCAGCTTCTCCTTCTCACTGAAAAGAGAAGCCCTCGCCCCCGAGACCGCGCACGGGCGAGCTCTTCTGGTCGCCGGACTGCCCGGAGCCCACCAGGACGATGCGGAAGGTCTCCTGGTAGTTCGCCTGGGTGAAGTCCTGCGGCCATGGTGAAACTTCTGGCGGCTGGCAAGACCCCCCCGGCAACAAGTGGTCGACTTTTTTGGGGGGCCTAGTGGAAACACCTGGATTTCCCCAAAAAGCTCAAGTCTAAAGATCCAACCCAATAGCAGTCAAGTGAATCCCACCAAGGTGATGTCCACCAAAGGGCCCCTTATTAAAATTCATTGCCAGTGCACAAAACCCAAAGCTGGGCTGCCCGTTTTCTGATCCGCTAAAAGTGAAACTCACTTTTAGTGGGTTCAATGGAAACTACCAAACACAAAAAAAGGCTAAGGGGTTGATGTTTTTCCATTCTGTTCAACCATCCTTCTTTTGAAAAACCGATCGCTGTTCCTTCTGGGGTTCTGCTGGCTTTCTGAAAAGAAGGATCCCTGGAAAGAATGGGGAAGTGTCCCCCAGAAACCCAGGTGAGTCTTGACAGCCCGGTGCAACAATTTGCTGCAAACGGTTTGGAGTTGCGCTTCTGGATTGCAGCTGTGCTTCCCCCTGTTGGTCCATGCTTAGTACTGTTTTAGTATTATTTTAATATCCTAGAGGTTGGTGGATCCATAAAAGCCACATCAAACCGTTTTCTAGATTGCCTGTCCCAAAACCAGGTAAGCTAACCTACCACCCCAGTCGCATTCGTTCTGGTGCACCCCTCCTCAGGTTTGCATGGAAACCCATCCACTGTGCTATGCGTCATGCGCATGAAGCGGCCGTGGGCGCTGTTGTGCAAGCCAATCCGCCCGTCGAAGATGTCACTAGCAGGCACCACGGTGAAGTGCTCCCAGGAGAGGGCATGAGGGCTCGTGCTCATATCTCCATTGTCGCCCATCTGCACGTACCGGTTGTGAAGAGCATTGTGCAAGGAGATCTGCCCATTCCCTGCGTCCACCACGGTGAAGCGCTCATAGGTCCACGAGTCTGGCAAGTCAAAGTTGGCATCCTTCTGTTCGCTGAAGCCCATGTCGTTGGAGTTCATGTTTACAAAGCGCCGGTGAGGCTCATTGTAAAGGGCCACCACAGAGCCTGGCTCGAGGAAGGGTTTGAGGTGCACGACGCGGAAGCGCTCCCAATGCCAAGGGAAGGAGTCCCAAGGCCTTGCGGAACAGTGACCACTGGCGCCAGCGGCAACGCCTTGCAAATTCACAAAGCGGTTGTGCTGGGCATTGTGCAAGCCGATCTGCCCATCCACGGCTGGCCAAACCTCCCATTTCGCGGAATCCCAAGCTTGATCGAATTGATCCACGTTGCTGTGCGGGCCTGCCATCGAGGGCTGCAGGCTGATGAAGCGGTTGAACCTGACCAAATATAATTCGACGATGTTGGAAAGCCGGCTGCAACTTGAAGAACTTGCGCAACAAGCCCGTTCAGGCAGTTGCCACCATTATAACAATGGCTGGTTCATATATATATATATATCTATGTATATATATATATCTCTCTCTCTCTATGTATATTTCACCACCGTTCTTGACCGATTGTCGGGCGGGTCTGGCCCGTCTATCATCAGCGCGATCTATGGTCTTCGCCGCAGATCGAGGGATGGCACTGGCATCCGAGACGAAGGATCTGGAAGTGCCTCTTCTGTGCGCAGCGCAGTACTATGGTGAGATCTTTTCTCCAGACGAGATGGACCGCAGAGGCGCTACTGATCTTCGCAGGGGAGGCTGATCTGATATGGGACGGCCCCGATGCGGGGGCCTTACCAATGCAGGCCTACGTCCGGTATCCCCATTGGGTCAACATCATTGCCATTCCTTCATTTGCTTAACTCCCCCGACAAAAATATCAAGATGTGCAGTGTTAGTCATAAATTCCATTCTAAAACCAACGGAGAAAATCACAAAACTGCAGGGCCGCCGCAAAGGGGCCAGTTCTTTTCCACCTGACGCTGAATTCGCATTCTGACGCTGCATTCCAAAAATCTGTGACGCCGTATTTCCCTGACGCCACATTCTCCCCTGACGCCGCATTCCCGGCTGACGCCGCATTCTGACGCCACATTCTCTGACCCTACATTCCCGGCTGACGCCGCATTCGCGGCTGACACCACATTCCGACGCCACATTCTCTGGCACAATGTTTTTGGCTGACGCATTGTGACTCCGCATTCCCTGCCGCCACTTTTACCCCGACGCCGCATTCCTGGGTGACGCCGCATTCCGACGCCACATTCCCTGACGCCACATTTTCCTCCCTGACGCCGAACTCTTGGCTGACGCCGCACCGACGCCACATTCCCTGACACCGTATTTGTCCCTGACGGGCTGACGCCGCATTCCGACGCCACATTCCCTGACGCCACATTCCTGGCTGGCATTCCCGGCTGACGCCACATCCCCCCCCCCCCCCCGACGCCGCATTCCGGGCCGCGGACGCAGGTTAGCGCCATGCATGCGCCCGAGCTTTGGACCGCTTCCAACACGTTTCAATCTTCTGTTCTGCCTTTGGGTGACCGGCGGCAGGACCGACTGCTGGGCGCTGGGTTTTGGAAAGGAACTTGAACCTTGCGGTGAGGCTACAACTTCCTCGAGCGATTTGGACAACAAACGCATCCGCAAGTCCCATTCCCATCTTTCGTGCAATAGAAGAAGCGCCCGTTACCTTATTTGCTTGATGAGCGTTTTTAAAGCTGATACGTGCAATGTGTCAGGGGTCCTGGGTGGAGCCTGATCGGAAAAGGGTCAAACCTTCAAGGTCTGACAGGTCGTCGGTGTCTGCCTGGACTGCAAACTTGAAACATGCACATGAGCTGCACAGGTTGCCCGTGGGGTTGGTACGGACCTTCTTATATTGGCCGGTGGCGTACCGCCAGCCACATTGGGCGGTCCACATTGCTGAGTTGATGCAGTCGACATCGGTGGCCGGCATGCGTGCTTTGCTAGTCGGTGTTCACGATCCAAAACGTGTTGTCGTTTGACCACATCCTCTATTTGTTGGTGTAGTTCTTTGTGTGACTGCGATGAGTCGGTTCAGGTTGGATTCCTGGATGTAACGCGCCACTGCTTCCGAGCCCCAGCGGCCGATAATTTGCACCGTCTCTTTGTTGTGGCCGAGTCTGTGTTGTGTTGGGTGGAATCACTTGGGCCGGGGATGCTTCCCATGCGTTGGGGGATTCCGGATGTGCTTTCCCTGTGATGGGTGGGATGACTTGGGTGGGGGTGCTCAATGTGTTTGGGTGGGATAGCTTGGGCGGTGGGATCACTTGGGCGGGCGCTTACCATGTGTTGGGTGAGCCGGGGACGCTTACCACGTGTTGGGTGGGATCAAACAAAAACATGATGTCATCTTGTCGCGGAACTGAAACCTGATGTCATCTTGTCGGGGATCCCCCGTCTGGAAGGACTAAAGACAAGGCGTTCCGAACAAATCAAACTGTCAGGCGCGGCACGTTTTGCGCAGATTGGATCAGTCCTGCACGATGCGCCGGCTTTGAGCTAGTCGGGCCGGGCCTGGTAGGTTCTGCCATGAGGTGGGCCTAGTGGGATTGCGTGAGACGCGGACCTGTGAAGGTGCCATAAGGCGATTCGCTCCTTCGGTGTCCTGGCACGTCCCAGAGTTTCAGGCGGGAAAAGCTATAGGTTAAGGATGCGCGAGCACTGGTAGCGCCGCATGTCGTAGAAGGGAAAGGGAGTGGGTGGTTGGTGTCGCTGTCTCATCAAGCTAGGCAGAAGGTCTGGCGTCTGCATATGAAACGCTCGTCGATGCAAGGCAGCACGCACACGATGAAGTTGGTGAGAGCTATCCGACGGCTATTTGACGGCTATCTGAAGTCTATCCGACGGTTATCCCGTCGGCTATCCGACGGCCATCCGACGTCTATCCGACGTCTAGAAAAGACGGCCATCCGGCGGCCATCCGATGGCCACTCAAGAACCACTATTAAGAAGCGCACACATAGACATGCACCTGCTTTCACAGCGAGTGATCCGTTCCGAGCAAAGTCAGTCCTCCAAACTTGGCCGTCTCACACAGCCCCTTCCTCACTGAAAGGTAGAACATGAAAGCGCTGCAAGAAGGTTCATTAACCAGCCCCAAGCGGCACCCAGAATCAGCCAAGGTTGCCAAACCTCGCTATCCGCTTTGCCATCCTCGCGGTGGGTCGTGAGGCTCTTTTACTCTCGAAAACCCTACATTCCAAAGATTTCCCCTCCGTTGAAATGACAAGGAGGTCCGTTGGCCAGGATTGCCAATAACTGTAGTCTCCCCTCCTAACAAAGGGAAGCGCGATTTATTGAGTGCATGACGCACATAGCACTCCTGGCCACTTGCACTCATTGTGAAAAGGGATGTGTCCTCATGTTTGTATTGTAAGGCTATCCGACGTCTATCCGGACTTCGAATTGGTGCACCATGGCTCTGGCCACTTCTTGGATATTAAACTTGCCCTTTGGGTGTGGCCATTATAGCCTTATGGGCAGCGCCCAGCCCAAGAGCTGGTCAAAGAGCTGTCGAGCTGCCAAGTAGTTGTTGCGTCTATATGTTGTTTCTTGCGTCGTCGCAGAGCGTAGAGACTTGGATTTAAAACATTGGATCAGCCAGGTCACTGAAAAGCCTTTTTCCTTCTAATTGGAATTGTGAAACGCAACCGGGGTTGTTGTTCAGCACCTTTGAACTGGTTATTCGCGAGGACGACGGCTACTAGCCTGTCGCAAAGCCAAGCGATTGACTCTCGTCACGCTCTAGGTTTTCTGGCTACGCGCTGGCCGGGAACGCGCGAACAAAATAGTTTGGCTGCGCAGAGGTGATTTAGTAAATGGCGGGCGATTGAATTTTGAAGCGCCACGTCCAGTCATAAGCAACGCGCACAATCCGCAACAGCCGCTCAACGTCAGGAAGCAACGCTAACACACTGTGGAAAGCCCACACACAGAGTGTTGTTGTCCGTCTAGCCGAAGCTGGGAAACACAACCAGGGTTGCAAGAGATTGGGGGCTTGCGAGCGCTATTCTCCTTCGCGATAACTACAATATCACTCAGACTACGAGGGTAGACTTACCAAGCTCCCGCTCGCAACCAAATTTGCAAGCAAAGTGCTGTAGTTTGAAGGGCATGAAGCTTGCCTCTGGTGTTTGGCGCCCCGCAAGGCGACCCAGGCCAAAGTGGCCACAAGCCAACTAGTGACTAGGTTGTAGTTGAACCAGCAAAGCACTGAGAGGAAGAAAGTCGGGACTGACAAATCCCACGCCTTGCTTCAGCAAAGATTTTGCAACATGTCCGCTCAGTGACCTCGGAGGTCTGACAAGGTGCTCCAGCTGGTGCCGCTCTTGCTTTGCTGGCTTGCGACGCCTGCTTCTTCTTGCAAAATTTGCAGGTTAATGCGCGCAGTGTCTTCGCAGAGGCGCGGCGTTGCGCCCAATAAGCCCGGAATTTGATAGAACGCTTGCAGCTCTGCTTGTTTGTTCAGGACGTCCGTGCGTAGAGCGCAATTTTTGCACAGGCAAACTAACCTCAGAACCAGTTTGCCGCCAGCCTGCAGTAATTGTCAGAAGTGGCCTTTCATTGAGTTGTTCGCAACCTTGTCCACAAGCATACTGGCTCGACAAGGTTTGCACGATCGCTTGCTACAGAGGTCTCAAGGCTCGCGCGGGTGCCTGTCAATCCAACATGGCACGGCAGACCGTTGCTTCCACGCCAGAGGCAGATGTTCCAGCCCGTGCCGGCGACTCTAGAGTTGTGCGCAGCGTGTCAGAAAGTCCTTGCCAAAACAAACGAGAGAACCTGTTTCAATTGACGTGATTTTGGTTGTGGCCAAAGGCTAGCAGAAGCGTGCGCCCTGAGAATCGCTGCGTTGCAAACACTTGTGACTGCGGGATTGCCACACGAAGGCTGCCTTCCGAATATGTGCTTGTAGGGTTCGAGTCTGTCAGCAAACCTTCGCTTGACTGCTTCACAAAGACCGCTGTCAACACACAAACTCTGCAAGGAACAGTTTCGACTCTGCCTTACAGGGACTGCTCTACAGGCAGCCTGCAAGCACTCCGACGCAAGGCTGTTTTACAAGGTCTGCTGCAGAGCTGTGCTGCTGGCGCTGGTCAGTTTGCGAAAGAGACGGTTTGGTCCGCAATTTCGAAGTGAACTGTTCAGAACTGCTACTGCCCTGAGCATCCGATTTTGATTAGAATCAATTAGCAAGCCTTCTGAGATTTTGATTTTTCACGCAACGTGGAAATATTGATTCCAATTTTGATCCCGCAGTTGATTCCCTAATTGATTCCAGTTTTGATCCCGTAATTGATTCCACTTTTATCCCGCAATTGATTCCCAAATTGATTTCCTAATTGACTTTCTAATTGATT